AAACTGGTACCAGCCATCAGTGCTTACCAATCTGTAAACCTTATTTTCCTGCTTATTGGAATCATATATGGTTACTGAACCAATGTCACTTCATGTAACCCCTTAATAATCATGGACTGGTTGTTAAAAACTGGATCAAAGGTAAAATAAAGTAATACTGCTACCAATGATGAAGTTCCAAAACGTTCAAATAAAAAGTGATGAATATATATCTATTTAATTTATATGCACAGATGAACAGAAACCATAATGTGTTCTGTTATGAAATGTTATCCAATGTGATATGAAGGCAGCCAAATTTTTCCAATGTTTAGAAATGAAGAAAATATCTGAAAATGTAGTGAATATGTTCATAGGAAATACCGAGAATTTTGGAAGGTAAAGTTGTTCCTTGGCAAGTACTGTCTTCGCTCGCTTGGAAACCGAGATCGTGGGTTTGAATCCCACTCAGGGAATGGATGTTTAGTTTGTGTGTGTGAGTTTTTCTGTTTGTGTACAGGTAGAGGCCTTGCGATGAGCTGATCACCCGCCCAAGGAGTCCTACCGTATGTGTAAGATCTAGAAAAACCGAAGTGAACGGAGAAGTTCATGGAGGTAGGCCTAGGCCCACTGGGGCTGTAGTGCCAAGGAAAAAAAAAGTTCCATACAATGAAGTAATCTGAGCGAGTGGATGTATAGATCCAAATTTTCTTGACCTCAGCGCCAGCTAGATGTGAGTGGTTATCTTCACATCCCAGATGCTTACTCCCAGGGAAAGAGCCCCTGGTATGCATTAGAGAGGAGGTTTGGTGGAACCCTGAGCAAGTATGGACGATTTGGACAGCAGAAAATTCTTGACCCTACCGGGACTGAAACTCCAACTACTCAGTTGTCCAGCCCGTAGCTAGTCACTAGGTGCCGAAGCACCAAACCATGCCTTTGAAAGGTTATTTCCTGGTGTATGAAGAAACTTCTTCCAGAATACCTAAAGGCCAGAATACATTTTATAAGAAATAATATGGCATTTTGGTAATCATAAAGTCACATTTCATTCAGAGAAAAGTTCTGTGTTTACTATGAGGATACCATGTACACGAATATATCAGCAAAGTCAACATTTTCATTGTCTCAGGAACCAAAAACAAAGAATGTAATTCTGAGCAATTTTTGTATGTATGTATGTATTATGAGAGGGTGTGGGTTTCCTCATGCACTTTGACCAGTTATTGGTCCATTGTGCGTCCCCCTTTTAATTTCTACTGTCGCCATACCCTACCGGTAACAGTGCGTGCCATCAGCCCCTGTAGAGCCAACGAGGTCGGCCCCCGGTACCTTGATGCTTCCCCCATCCACCAGTGGCATTGGAGACTACTCGGGCGGGAAAAAGCCTGTAATTTAGCTCAGATGTCTTCTAGAGACATGAGGTTCTTTTACGTGCCGTAAATCTACGACACAGGATCCACGGCTTAAAGTCCCTCCCGGAGGACTTGTTCCCTGAATTTTTCCGCCCTTAAAAATTCCACGACCTCTGCTGGGTTTTAACCCGCGTACCTTGAGTCATGAGGTGGGAACGTTACCCCTAGACTACGGAGGCTACTGAGCAATTTTTGTAACTTAAAATACTGTCAACCAGCTGAGACACTTAAATAATTATAGTATCTAATGGATGTGGTTAATCTTTCATATTATACTGAGCCAGACTAAGTAACAGGCAATTCATGACGAATGTCATTATTTCACTGATCATTACGCCACTTTCAGCCGCCGCTAAACACAGCATATAGAGAGGCGGCACTTACATGAGGGACGACGTGTGGTGAATCTTCTCGGATGCCTTACTTGCATCATCCACTTTGGTTCTGCAGTCGGTGGAATCCATGCAGATTGACAGACAAGGAGACAAGAGAGAAGAAAACACACAGAGAAAAAGAACAAGAAGAAAGGACACAAGACAAAAAACAATGGAATTATAAACTGCAAATTAGCTACAGATAAAGTAACAATGGAAAATGCAAAAAAAGAAGTGTGCTTTATTGTCATTGATGGATATAAATTTATTATATGACTGATGCTCTTTGTGTCCATTTTTTGTTCATATTTCAGCACCAAAAGTAATACACAACTAAGCTGGTAATTCAGAAAACAGCCTTACACATTTAAATGTTAATTTTAACCACAAAAGGCGAAGAAAAACTAAGAATTTAATGTCTGAACACAATCAGAAACACAAAATCACATTCTATATTTACTCCTCAGGGGTCTTTTGCCCTTTAAAATACAATGTGTTACCAATTCGAATATTCTGTAACTCAGATTTTGTTTCATGTTTTTCTAATAATAAATTCTGATTATGTTCCTAAATGCCATTAACTAACATGGTATATCAGTGTTCAGAAGAAAGACTGACATTCATGCTACCTAAATCTGTGGTCACTTGTAGCCAATCTAACGAGATATTATGGGTTTATCTGTGTAGCTGCATTTCTCTTGAAGCAGGCTCTGCTTTCCAAGTAGGTATTTCTATAGTGGGGCTTGAAGTCAAAGATTAAAGTATAAAATAATATTCTCGCCCTTGGATTACCACCACTTGAGTTAAGTGTAATACTCTGGCCTTTGAAAATAAGCTGAATGAATAGTGTTCTGGCAAACACTACAGCTGCCACCACCAGGGTTAATGTTTAAGTGCGGGTCTGGAAGCACCTATATTAATCGGACAGTGGGTGGTTAGCAGAAGGTGGACATGTGACTAGAGGATGATGAAAGGGGTAAAGTGTTACATAACAGAGAGCGAGAACACATGATAGGAAGAAGATGCTATGAAAAGTGTTTTAGTTACTACATGATTAGATATATAAGTAATAATGAAAGCTGCTTTTGCAACTATGTGATTAGGACAAGGATTTTTTGCCACATGGTTAGGAAAAATGTGCTGAAAAATTTTGTAGCCAAATGGTTGGGAATGGAGGAGACAAAAAAGTTTCATCATCCTCTATAATATCAATGTAATTGATTATATAAAATATATTCAGCTTACCAAGTAATAATTATTAAAATGGGAAAGCATAATTGTCATGTTTAGAAATAGGGTTCTTGAAACATTTATTATATTTATTTTGATACTTTAATATTTTAAAGATAATATTTAATGGAAAGATAAAATAAATATTGTCATTGACTTGATAGATACAGTTATATGGCAAGACATGTTAGTATGATAGTGTTACATATTATAATGAGCCTGTTGACTGAAAACAGAGAAAGTCACATGTCTGGATTCCACCTACTCACAATCCAATCATAATATCCAATATCCGGAGGGGGAGCAAAATAAAAAAAAATCAAATAGAGATTTCAAGAGGCTATTCTAAATAAGAATTCGAAGATGTCTCTAAATAGCTGTAACAACTATATATCTGCATTTATATTGGTATTAACTATTGTATGATATGTTGTACATACTTAACGTAGTGCTTTGAAAAGAAATATCAACTGTAAATAAATTACATTCTAACCATATGTTAACTTATATATACCTAATATTACTGTCTAGGTGCAGCAGAAGAGTTTCAATATTCAGCAGGATAGTAGAGACAAGGTACCTAAAAACACAGGACTAGATTCTATTAGGAATTAAAATATTTAGAAGAAATGGAAAATACAATCTGTACAAAACAAAGTAAATTAACACAGACAAACTTAGATAAATCATCTGGATAGAATGATAAAAAGAACGGATTCTGCATAATAAAAGACTAAAATGATGCTAAAACCAAGCAAGAGAGAAAAGATGGAATGAAAATGTGAAAATGGAACAGGTTTCATTTAAAGTGTCTTTTAGTAATTTCCTTCCCATCCAAAATGAGAAGATTAATACTTCTCTAAGAATATAATATATAATATAATATTCCGTCCAATTTCTGAAAAAGTTCATGATAGAAATATCAGTAAGTGCCGTGACAATTTTACTTCATGTGATTTTGCAGGTGGAGTCAGCTGCCCTTTGGCAAACCGCTTTAATCTTCTGATCATACCTTCCTCCTGTAACACCTACATATGGGCATGTACACAGATATGTACACACACACTCAGACAGCCCACCACTCCATGTTTGCATACACGTGAATTGTCAAACTTCCTGCTATATTAATTCTAGAAACACTATTGGTTTGAGTATTTATAGTTTCTAGAAATAATTACACATCTTGTAACAATACTTGATATTAATTAATGTGCAAGAAATGTGGAGTAAGAAACTCTTAACATTATATTTTGACCCTACTAATGCCCTTCAATATATTTTAATTAGTTAGGATTTCTTCTTAAAATTCTGATATTTAGTTACAGGGTTCAAGCATTTCTACATTTCCTTAGGTTGTAACACTGAACTATCAGATAACAGTTGAATTATTTTATTTGATGTTAAATTTAAACTGACTGCTGAGAGAATGAAAGAAGAATGAACTTACTGCAAGGAAGGGGCCGCGCCATAGCTCAAGCGGTTAATCACTGGCTTCCCATTGCGGCGGCCCAGGTTCGATCCAGGGTCTGGTCAAGTGGGATTTATGGTGGATAAAGTGGCGCTGGGGCGGGTTTTCTCCAAGTACTTCGGTTTCCCCCTGCCAATCTTCATTCTACCAATTACTCCACAATCAGCCTCACCTATCATCTGGGGCTGGTACAATAGGCCACAACTGGCCGCAGTAAGAGGGACTTTGCCACGCCAGACTAGCAATAAAAGAATGATACTGCAAGGAAACTCTGAATTACGACATTTACAATAATGCTTGATGATGATAATGGGGATGGCAACCACAGCAGAACAAAAACATTGAAATAAGTTAAGTTTCTCTCATATGAGAAAAATAAATACACCCCACATACCTATATATCACTAGTCAGTATAAGCAAGTAATTTAATAAGGGCTAATTTAATAAGGGCTGTGCTTCAACTGCATTGACTTAGCAATATCCTGTTCTCTGAAACAACAGGCTGTGAACAACTGTGTGAATGGGATACTTACGAGGGCGGGCTGGGTAAGGGCACCTGGTGTATCTTCCACGTGGCAACAGACATGGAGTGTTCATCAGCTGCATAGCAGCGCCACAAGCTCTGAATCAAAGTGGCTGCTGGTTGCCGTCTTCTTATCATGTGCTTCTGTCTTTGCTGCTGCTGCACTTTGAGAGCAAAACCCGAGCCTAGGATGCCCTACAACAACAGTACAAGAAGCTCTGAATATAACTCACCCTGCAGCAGATCAAGGAATCCCAAATATACATCACTCTGTAATATTTCACAGAACTATAAATATATGTCACTCTGCAACAGGTCAAGAAACACTAAGCTTAAGCCTCCCTGCAGCAATTCAATAAATTCTAAGTCATCTTGCAATATGTCAAGGAACTGTAAGCAAGTATCCACAGAGCAATTAAAGGAACTCAAGAGTCAATCTGTAACAGTTCAAGGAACTCTAAATGTCAGCCACCCTGCAAACTTAATCACCTTGTGAGATAATATTTGTACTAATGTGCCATCATCACAAACTTCCAGATCTTATTCACCCTGTAACAGTTCAAGGAACTGTAAGCATAAGACTCTCTGCAGCAGTTCAATGTAAGTAAACAGCAAACAGCTTGTTTTTTGATTGCTTTTTATGTATCAACCCTGAAAATGGAAGCAGTACGTTCTTCCAAAAGCTTTCTAAACTTCTAACAGAGTATATGGTACCACACCCCAGAAGACTATTCTTCACAGTCATCACAATGAGTAGCGCAAATCATTAATCACTATTTCCATTAAGAATCATATGAAACACATGAATACAAATATAACTGTGCTGTAATGGGTCCGATTCCTGATGAGGTCACTGGACTCTTCAATTGACCTAATCCTTCCAGCAGCATTATAGCCCTGGGGTTGACTCAGCCTCAAACAGAAATGAGTATCTGTGTGGTAAAGTGTGGCTGGTGGGTAAGGCTAACAACCTCACCGCCACCTGCAAGCTGATTGTTGAGAAAATGTTGGATCCTCGACATGTCACAACCCTATGGGCCTCCACAGCCTGCTATCTAATGGTACCAGAGCTGACATACATACAGGAGTTCATGTATTTGGTATAAAGTGGCTGCCACAGAGAAAGGTGAGGGATTGAATGTGCTGTACAGTGACAGAGAGAGAGACAAAGTGATACTGTCACAGTGCCTTAGGACTGATTCTACTTCAGTAGTTATCCAAATTAGCTGGCAACGTCATGTCCTGGCCTAGTGAACTTCTGGTACAAGATCAAACTCATTTCAGCATCCTGTTGCAATTGTTTAACTTAACATCCATGTATTTATCGTCCGTCAATATTGCAACACTTGTTTGTTCACTACTTAATTTTAATTTTAGTTTAACATTATACACTTCGACACTACATGTGTTGGCCCCAAACTGCCATCTTCAGGTGTCTTGATATGTTACAAATATTTTATTAAATTATGATAAAACTGCTACACTGTCTTAGTCCATGTTAAACTCACATGCTGTAGTTCTCTTTTCAAGGTAAAACTTTTCGGTGCCTAGGCACTATTAAAGACAACACCACATGCTGTGGAGAAAACACCCAAACCATGGGTATATGGCAGTCATAACTGAAAAGTAGGCTACGAACGTGAGGGACAAGCTGCCGAAACAAAACACCCTGGACAGACATACATTTATGAACAATGGACGACACCCCGTGGGAGGTGAAATAAAATGCACCAAAATAACGTGGGTATAATAGAAACTTTAAAGGATTTTATCTGGTTTTGCCTTGAAAAGAGAACTATAGCATGTGATTTTAACATGGACTAAGACAGTGTATCAGTTTTAACATAATTTAATAAAATATTTGTAACATATCAAAGACACCTGAAGATGGCAGTTTGGGGCCAAAACATGTAGTGTCGAAGTGTATAATATTGTGACATGTTGCGCAAAGGAGAACCCCCCCCCCACCAGCAGTGACGCGGCGGGTGAGTCAGCGCTCCCCTCCCCCTCCTCCGCAAGGTAACGTAACGGTGACGCAACAGGATTGTTACTGTAGTAACAGCGGTTACTACCACTAGCGTTACTAGCAACACGGCGCCAGGCAACAAGGGTGCCTATTACGTGGCCGTTTTCCGTATGGTCCGATCAAGGCTACATGGGGAGCAGCGAAGGCTATTCACAGTGAGTTGTACTGAGTCAGTGAGTCCTGGAGCTACCGCCGAGTTAGCCAGCAACTAGTCAGTGGTATTCTGGCATTTCGAGTGTACTAACTGTGATACTGCAGATAGCAGTAACCGTAAATCTGTAATTTGGGTGATTGTAAGTGCGAATGTGAAATAAAATTCGCTACATCAAATACATCGAGAAGTTATTTGTCGCGATATACGCAAGATACGCGACAATATTAAACTAAAATTAAAATTAAGTAGTCAATAAACAAGCGTTGCAATATTGACGGACGATAAATACATGGACGTTGAGTAATTTAACTTTCTAAAAGCTCTTTGGTGAAACTAGGTGTGGGGAGTTATGTCTGCAAACTCAGATGACTGGGTCCCATTTCCTGAATATCTTTACAACACAAATGAAAGGAGAAGCTTCATACAAGCCACTTTCATGAAACCTGGTTAAGTTATGATACACGCACTGGAACATGGTCTGGTTGATGATGGTTTAATAAGGAGGCTGGTGAAGCATAAGTGCTCTAAATTGGTATCCAGGAGGTGCTCAGTTTAAATCTTGGCCAGGACACTGATTATCCTAACTGAACTTTATCATGCTTCTCCTCACTCCCTACAGCAGGACAGTGCCTCAATTAGGAAAAAATTATTTATTTCCATATTATTTCAAGTTCACTGTTCACCGGCTTTCATACCATTTGACACTAACGAGACTGGTTACTGATGGCATAGTAAAATAATAAACCACACAAGCTAATGATGATCAACATAACTGTGCCCATGTACTGTAACTGTCATAGCATGTTTTCAGTGACATCTGTCCATGACTTACCGCTGGGAGAGCGAAGAACGATATACCGAGCAGTGCGCAGAAGGAGGCGATCACTTTGCCCTGCCATGTCTCAGGCACAGCATCGCCGTAGCCCACCGTGCAAAGCGTTATCTGCAACATAATGACCATCATTTCAAAATGAATCTCATATCTGTAAAAGACTTTTGGAGTACTGAGGAGGAGTACTTATCTTTGACTATGTACACTGTCTAATTTATCTCCAAAATTGCTTACAATCTCTGAAGAGACGAAAATTTTCCATAACCACTTCACTATATCTACGTAATGACTTATAAAGTACTGTATATCTGACTTCACCTTCTCTACTCTACTGCATAACACAAAAGAATGAAGAAATTTATCTGTGCTAGTAACTAATTTCCTCACTCAGCAACCAGTCAAATGTTAGAGACAAAGCTGCAAACTTAAAGGCCAAAAAAAGATAATCTGCTGCTCCTTCAAGGTTAACTCACACCTCTGGGAGAAGTGAAGGTTAAGTATTCCATTTATGTTAAATTTTACTAATTTATGTAAACTGTTCTAATGTATAACACATCAGAATTATATTGCACTTGGAATTTACTATAGATTTTATTCTGAAAGTGAGTACTATACTGCATTTTAATTACATATTTCTGGGCTATAGCTTTAAAAAAGATTCACGCTTGTAATACACATATTTCAGCTACGATTTTTATTTTTGTTTAAATGGTAAGAGCCTCATTTAAGAAGGTTGAAAATTAATTATCAAAGGATTTAAATTGAGGTATTCTGTACAGTTTTGCAGGTGGATACCCGTGCTTCAGAAGAATGTAATGCCTCCACTTTCCGGGTAAATATTTGTAAGTGAGGCACTGATTGAATTAAATAGGCACGTTGCAAAGAAGGTGGTCACTCAGACCCTAAATATGGAGACAATATGTTCGCCAAAATTGTCGTCTAATTACATGAATTCGGAGAGAAAGGAAAAGACTGATAAAAGACAGGAAGAAACAGAACATCGGATAAATATGTGAAGAAGTAATATTCCCTGGGAGATTAAACCTGGAAATTATGAGAATATTTGTGGCTTATCCCAGACAATCAAAAAAATTCTGAGATAGTACCATCAAAATTACCAGTCATGTTATTCCATTTCCCTCTCAGTCACCATAATTATATTAGAGTGTACCACTAGATGCTTGTATATTTGTGGTTGTTACAGGATACATAAGGATCCAATTTTCATAAAATCCAGTATATTATGGGCAAGGGCACACCAAGGAACTGGCAACTGCAACATAACTGCAATTTCAGAGAACTGGTGTCAGCTTAAGTTGAACACATGTTACTGAAGGGAGCAGTGCAAATTGAAGAAATGCAAAGTAGTTTCCTTACTTTGTACTGCTCCATTCAGTATCATGTGTTCAACCCAGGCTGATAACAATTCTTGGATACGGCGGTTGCGTTGCAGTTGCCAGTTCCCTTGGTGTGCCTTTGCCCTAAGCATTCAAAATTATAATTCAGTCTGTTCATAAGTTATGTGGGCTGTGACAGAAGCTCTTTGTTCCTTATGATGTTTGTGGTCATGGAGATGTGAAATAATAAGAAAAATCTCTCTTTCTCTCTCTCCCTCTACACATAAGAGAGATATGTGAGTGTGACAGAAAATGTTTGAAACTATAAAATTTGGGACTACAATGGCAATGAACTGTTGAGTGTTAACATGCTAAATGAACGAAAATTATGCAGTAAGTCATGAAGTAAATCATGTACCTATATTGTGCATCAGAAACAACATGATGACACAATTCAAGATCACAATACCAAATCCAGTAATAATAAAAAGATAATAAAATTAATGCTGTAGTAATTTAAAATAAATGATTTGAGCCACTGCATTTGAGCTACTGGAGTTTTAGGAACAGTAACTACAGTAATTAAAGTATATAATTACAGCAATTAAATGGCTTCCCTAATTAAAGTTGCAATTATTATGTTTCTTGTCTGCTGTCTAAAAGCACTGAAACTTGAATTTAAAAGGCTATAACTCTGGCTGTAGATTTGCATGGCTGTGAAACTTCATGTAGTTACTATAGGATTCTAATGATGGCGTATAACACACAGAGATATTGGGTTTTTGGACTTTATCCATTGTCCTGGTTTTTAAGATAAGTAACGTTGTGTTTTTCTTAGTTATCTTAAAAACCAGGACGATGGATAATGTCCAAAAACCCAATATCTCTGTGTGAAACTTCATCTCTGACATTAAGGGAAGAATACAGATAGAAGGTTATCTCAGGGAGAGAATATTTGTATGAAGAGGGATGAAATAACAGGTGGCTGTAATGAGGTTCTTCATAACTTGTACCAAATATAATTAGAATGTGGGAAAGAGGAATAAATGTAGGATTTCGGTGGGAAAGTCAAAAGGAAAGAGAACACTTGGAAGATCTAGACATAGGAGGGAGGATAATATTGAAATAGGTTAGTCAAGTAGGATGTGGTATGGATTTGATTCATCTGGCTCGGGATAGGGACCAGTGGCGGGCTCTTGTGTATATAGTAGTGAAACTTCATGTTCCATGAAATGTTGGGAAATTCTTGAGTAGCTGATTGATTGGTGACTTCTCAAGAAGGACTCAGTTAATTAAAGAGGTTATCTCAGCATGGTCGAAATATCACAGCTCTTAAATACACAGTTCATTTTTCAGTCATGAAACATGCAAACAGATGCTATCTCTTCACCATGTGTCCATTTTATGTGTATCCAGCAAATGACACATAAGCCTAAAGATTAGAGTGAGTATTAAAATGAACCTTAGAGGAATAGAAGAGTACTGTCTTCTTGGATGTGACACCGTGTAGTCTTGTAAAAGTATACTGACATTCCTCTGAAACTACAGTGACTTCTAGCAGACTACATGCCACCATATAGCAGAAGAGTGTTCTTCACAGACACCTCAAATACTTGTTACAGAAACAGGAAGACTTGAGGTTTACATGAAGTGAAGATCCATATTGTAGTCTACCGATTTTGGAAACTCTGTGGCAGTTTCTTAATTGAGTGCTAAAGTTTCAGAAGAACATGCTGCCTCCACCTTCACGGTTTGTTTGTAGCACAGTCTATTTCAGTTCACAGAGGATTTCATGATAAGCCTTTAGATTTGACGAAGCAAAAAATTAGCTGTAAAGTAAAATGTAAAGCAATGTATAGTAGAATGTAAAAGTAGAAAATGTAAAGCAAAGCAAGAAAGTAACAAGGACTGCTCATGTAATCTTACCACTCCCCACCAGAGGGCATCAGCGAAGTTGGAAAATTTATCATTGGTGTCCTTCTCAGCTAGATATACGAGGAATGAAGCGAAGATTAGGCCCAGGAATCCGATGTAGAGTGTCGTGATCAGCTCCTGTAATAGATAACAATGCAAGTTCAGTGACAGTCACACGTTAGTTCTGCAGTAACTGAGAATGTTGGAAGAGGCGGGAACAACATATGACCAAGCTGATTATTGTATACACGATATCATTCCCTGTGGTCTTCTCTGTCCAAGGTCTTGTCATTACATACACAGAATGTTCCATAACACTCAATATATTTATAACACAAAATCCTTCACAATACAAGTACAAGATATTTAACACAACAACCTATAATAATATCCCCTGATAGAACAAACCTGAAATTATAAATGATTAATATATGTCTTCTTAGTCCTAACTATAGTTTTAACTTACTTTGCTTTAACCAATGATGAAGTGAAAAAATCTAGATAATCAAGTTTAAGAATTTAATGTGAATACCGACCAATGGATAGAAAAAAAAAACAGCGATGTGGAAAACAAATGTGTTATCAACCTGAAGGCTGGCAAAAGACTGCAACATGCAGTTGAATATAAATAATTATATAATTATTACTTATTATATAAAACCTTGTGTCAATGGAAATATCATATATAAGACCAACATGTGATGCCATGACAGTGAATAATCATAAAAGTATGTAAAATAATATGTTTTTATTTTTGGACCAATTTAATTAATTTAAAGAATAAACTAACACAAACACATCAGTTTTATCAAATGAAGGGTTGATATATTTTATGTTCAAAAATACCAGTCTTAATGTACAATTATCAAGGTGCTTTAACGATAGAAAGAAGAAAAAGACTTGTCACTGTGCTTAATTAGTCAAGCACTATGTCATGAGCATATATGGGGGAGTGGAGGTATAGTTCCACCTTTCTTGACTTCGGCACTAGATGAAGGTGAGAGGTCAGCTTCACTCTCCGACCACTTTACCACAGGGGAAAGACCCCCTCCCCCTAGCACCAATTGGATAGGAGGTTGGGTGGTCCCCAGATTAAATCTGGACGCTTTGGAGGAAAAGCTCTTGCACTGCCGAGAATCGAACCCGGGTCGTCCAGCTCATAGCCTGTCTCTATACTGACTGACCTATCACGACTCCTAAGGTGCTTTCACATAGAATTATAATTATTCAAACTAGATTCATTACAAAAGGTATCCATGGCAGACATATGTAATGCAGTAAGCTGGTAATGGACAGGTTGAATATGATAAAACAGGAAGCCATATAAATGGCTCTGGTCCAGATTAACACTCTGGAGAATCACCCGTGTGGAGGCAGGGTCGAATACCTCCATCGTGACCCTTCGAGTCACAGGAGGCGACGAAAAGGGAAGTCTCAAATCTGAGACAGTAAAATATGGTCGCTAGTACTAAGGGACTCGGACCTGAGAAAGACTGCGCTGGCAAGGGCCAGCAGCATATACAAAAGACAGACCCGTCCTCTCGTCAGAGATGGTGCCCCACAGAAACAAGACCGTAACTGTCAAACAGTAATAAATATCTGGTCATGAGCTCCAGATGGGGCTCGACACCAAGACTTACTGACTGACTGACCGTCAGTCACAAGGTGACTTTGACTTGATTAACACTCAAAAGGGTGGAGTTCATTTAAATGGTATTTAATAATATATTTCTTAACCTCACAGAGAATATACTATATCTCTATTATGAAGAAAAATAATTTAATGTCATTTAGATAAGCAATCACTGTTTAATGTCATTAGCATATGTAACACATATAAAGAAAGTAAAAGTAAAGGTATCCCTGTAACAGGCCGTGGAGGCCCATAGGGTTGTGAGATGTTGAGGTTCCCACATTATCTAGACAATCGGCCCATAGATGGCGGCAAGATTGTCAGCCCTACGTGCCGGCCGCCTTTTACCCCCAAGAATATTCCAAGAATATTCCTGGTACTCATTTCTCTTAGAGGCTGAGTCGACCCCAGGGTCATAGTGCGGCTGGAAGGATTAGGTCAATTGAAAAAAAAATAGTCCAATGACCTCATCGGGTCTTGAACCCGTGACCTTCCGGCTTCTAGCATAGTGCCTCAACCAACACACTACGTAACACATATATGCACTAGAATTTATTTTCAGTTGTTTACCATCCACAGCACTTTAAAGAGTTAATGATCCAGTTTTTACATACCTGTCTGTGAGCATACACAACAGAACCCAGCAGCTTCCAGGTACCGCCTCGGCGATCCATGCGGACCATCCGTAGGATCTGGAAGAAACGAAGTCCGCGCAGAGCCGAGGCTGCAAATACCTGACCACTGGAGCCCATACTCAGCACCACGAGAGAGGCAAATATGGTGCTCACGTCTGTATGGGGAAACCCACATTTATTTGTATAATAAACACAAAAGAGCTTCTAGATCATCATATTGACAGTCAACAGATCAAGAGAGATCATATGAACGTACTGTACCATTCATAGGGTTCCATTACAGAAAAATAAGCAAACGGCACCCAAGTCAGTACTGGGAACCTAACAATTATATTTATATTATTTATAACAGGAATCTTGCATCACCACAGAGTAAGTCAAAAGAACACGATACATGATAATGTCTTATATACCTGTGGGCCCATACTCAGCGCCACGGGAGAGAAAAATACGCTGGACACACATGCATGGGGACATCAATAATTATTATTTCACTTTAGATAGAAAAGAATTCCTGGACAATCACAGTATGAAACAACTGATCAAGTGATAACAAGGAATAGGATATTCATGTGTACCTACATTAAACAGCATGAGAGAGATAAATGCCGTGGTCATGTATGGGAAACAATTATTATTTGACATTAGATATGAAAGAACTCCTAGACAATCACAGTGAAAGATGACAGATCATGAGAGAAGATACGTAATATGTTGCATCATTAATACAGCCCATGAAAAGCAGTAACAGAGGGAAATTTTGTTCTCACATCTGTATGAGAGAACTGAAAATTATGTAAATCAGATACAAAATAATTCATGGATTATTACAAACAGCCATCAATAAAAGAGAAATTAAATGGGATAAGCTGCAGCATTCATATGGGGCGACTAGGGAGGTACATATAGTGCTCATTTCTGGTCGGGAGACTATACAATTGGATGTGCACATAATAAAATGGACTGTCTATGATTTTCATGAAAAAAAGTAGAAAATCTTGAGAGCATACAGTCTAATGGAGCCAGAGAAAGTATAATAAGAGGTTTGATTATAAAATTTTAACATCATTAAGGCTATTCAGGGCATGTATGCATAAAATGAATATAAGATTATCACGTAATACTACTAGTTTCAAATCAAGTTGTTACTCACCTATAATACAGAAAGGCCTCCTGAGAAATTTTATTCGGCCGAGGGCCCCTTGATACCTAGATCTACATCCTGAGGACCAGAGCCTGAAAAGCAAAGGAATTCAATTATGAACTGCATATCAATTACACTGATTAATTTCAGATGTGCATATATTACTGTTGTTATTACAAATAAAATATACAATTGAAAGGTATGTAACGAGTTAATATTGTGATACTGTGGGTCTTGGCATTGTACAGTCTGACAGTTGGAGAAACATGGCCTACATATTCAGGTTAGACTTCTGCAAAGTATTACTATAAATCCCATTAGTGATTTGGCAGCTATTTTGATCTTAAATGATCATGAAATTGAGAAATCAGCCCTATGGTCCAAAGTGGGAGCAGGAGGAGAGAGAGAAAAAATTTAATTAATGAAATATTAATTGCAAACAAATTATGAATTAATCAGACCACTTTTTATACACCGAGGCATTACATCCTGTCGGTGAACAGCCTTCAGCGATAGGCAGACACTGAATAGAGGACGACATACGAGTATAGTCCACAGAGTGACTTAATCATGTTGAACAGAAACACGCGAGAAACCCATACACGCCGGCCGACAGCCGCATTCGAACGCCAATGTTATTTAACGAGATCATTTTGCCTCTTTCCGGACACATATTTCATAACGATGCCGCTAAATTATATTTATGTTACGTAAATAAACTCTGTGGTTTTAGTCCGCAAACGTACTATACCGACCGAGCGACCGCCGCTTGTCGGCGAAATTAGTGCCAAATTTAGCGTATACAGAGTGTCGCGCGGTCAGCGCAGCGAATCCTCCACGGCCGCTAATTTCGGTTTTCTAGACCGCAGCCGCTATTTCCTTGAAACAGATCCTCAATTATCCTCACGAGGCTGAGTGGACCCCGTTCCAGACCTACTACTTCTCAGAAAATCTGGTAGCGCCGGGAATCGGACCTGGACCTCTGGATCTGTAGCCAGGAACTCTGACTACTAGACCATAGAGGCGGTCCTTTCAGTTATGTAACATGAAATATATTGAAAACTGGATAGTTCAGTGAGTATAGCGACGGGCTACGGGCTGAACGGCCGGGGTTCGATACAAAAAAGGGGCAAGATTCTTTTTTTACCTCTCCGAAGCGTCCAGACCGGCTCTGGGGCCCATTCAGCCTATCCAATATGCACCAGGACTCTTTTCTAGAGGATAACGCGGCCGGACCGTGACGTCAAGAATGGTGGAGCTATACCACCTTTACACCATACACCTTTATGGCGTGATACGATTTACTATATAATGTATGTTAGTAATAAGATATTTCTTAAAATGAATCATTTTTATGCTTGTTGTGTACACCTCAGTGACTCTCAAATAACCTCAAAATAACAAAGTAATAACGCGGTATGGACACGTGTCCCATCTGCAGCAGATACCTGTATGGTGCTGCCACTCTGCACTCTGCGGATAAATTTACAGGCTCTGTCAAGTCTCAGAAACTACAGGCAATCACACAGATTTAAAGAATGCAGGCAATAACAAGATCTACTCTTTTTGTGTGCATAGAAAGGGATTCCTGTGACACTTCGAGATGTCTATGACAGCATGCTGAGACGTTCGATTAGTAACATCAACTTAACAAAGAAACCCAGTGCGACAGAGAAAGTGTTTGCGGATGTTTTTTTTATAAAGAAACAAGAATTCAACCTTCAAGACACCTCCAGCTTTCCTTGCAGTTCAGGCACGTGGTTCGAACAAGGAGGATCAGTAACAATTTTATGCCTTACAGACGAGCTTGCTAAATAAAGCTGAACAAATTCATAACGTGGACGAAACAGAGCAAAATTTACACCGCCCAGTAACAAATTTTCTGAACGAACCCTCAGTAACTCAGATCGCAAATTATTTCGCAAACATGATATCAGACATCGCTAAAGAACCCAGAATCCAGAACTGTAGTAGAAGGTATACAGCGGTATGTGCCATCTAGCCTCTGTTTCCTTTGGAATGAATTAGGTATAACTACTTAATTCCTTCTTCAGAAGTCGCCAGTCGTTCAGCTACTCAATAATATCCCAATATTTTATGAAACCCGAAGGTTCATTGCCGTGTTCACTACAGCCCTACAATGGTCCCTACCCTAAGGCAGATCAATCCAGTCCATACCACCCCATCCTATCTCTCCAACATCCATTTTAATGTTATCTTCCCATCTACGACTAGATCTTCACAGTGGTCTCGTTCTTTCTGACTTTCTCACCACGTTCCTATACGCATTGTGCTTCTCTTTATGAGTACTACATGCCCTGCCCATCTCATTCTCCTTGAGTTGATCATTCTAATAATACTTGGAGAAGAGTACAAGTTATGAAGCTCCTCATTGTGCAGTTTTCCTTAATCTCCAACAACTTTATCTTCTTTCGGTCCAAATATTCTCCTCAACATCCTCAACATCATCAATCTTCCTCAGTTCCTCCCTTAAAATCAGAGACCAAATTTCACACTCATACAGAACCATAGGCAGAATTATAGATTCGTATATTCTTAGACAGCAGACGAGAAGACAAAAGGTTCTGAACCGAATGTTAGCAAGCATTGCCAGAATTCCGACCGCTCTTAATTACATCACGAATCAGATTTTTATTTGTTACTGTTTTCCCCAAAATATCTGAACTGTGCCATATATTTAAAGGATCTATAAGGTGAACTGGTTATACGCTCTGATTTTTCGAACATACAGCCGACATCTTAGTCGTATGAAGAATTATACAGTATAACCATTCTTTTTATTTCTTGGTTATAATTGCCCAGTCTCAGGGTAGAGCAATGAAAACTGAACTTCTGTTATTTATTCGCCGGTACAAGTAATAGTTCAATCTGAAAACATCTGAGCAACGCGCTCCTCAAGTCTTACAATTATGTGTCGTGTTGTTTGGGATTCCACCAAACAGTGCAGCTCTCTGGTGGTCACTCTCTGCTTTTAAGAAGGTCCCGACTCCATACTTATGCACAACGCAGTCTCAGTAGATTCTAAAGCATTCTGACCATGGTGTATAACATTTAAGAGCGCTGGGTTTTTGGGCTTTGTTCATTGGCCGGTATTCTAAAAAACACAGAAGAAGAGAACGTTTTGGAAATTGGATCTGTTTTCGTTCCCAGGTAGGGGTGGGGGAGGGGAGATATCTACTCTGTTGGGTCCCTTAGAAAGAGCTGACTTCAATCACTGGACTCAAAGAAGCAGATTTAAGACAGAATCAAAGGATAAAGATAAAGATTTACGTGTGCTCTTTCCTGTAGCCTAGCCTCATGTACCGGTACGTACTTTTGGCAGGGATCAACAAAAAGGACAGCGGGAAACTGGGAAAAACGTAAAATCCGGAGCTCAAACTTCCACTTTACTGCATTACAACAGATGACAGACATCAATGCAACGGCTGTCAGTACAGCACGTACATATAACAGCTAGATAATTTGGAAATAATAACTCTGACCGAATCCTGAAGCCACTCCGTCACTGCGAAACGAAGGACTGGAGCGTATCAGGAAAGCCAGGCAAGAGATTGCTTATTGTTCAGCTAATTAGTTCTATTTATTTATGCTTAATACAACTACGCCGTCTGGAGTTCAAGTTACTATATACGACGTCAGTATTTGAGAGAAAATGGGGGTACGCGGTAGCGTAGTTGGTTGAAGCACTCTGCTACAAGCCGGAAAGTTGACGTTTCGATTCCCGATGAGGTCATTGGATTTTTCAATTCAATTCAATTCAATCCTTCCAGCCGAACTTAGGCCCCGAGGTCGTCTCAGTCTCTATAACAGAAATGAGTACCAGAAATCTTCCTGTGGGTAAAGGGTCTGCCAGCCGGCGCGTAAAGCTAGTGTCAGTGTCACGTGACTTCGAACAAGGCCCCGCATTCCTAGTCAAATCCCTAGCTTGTGGTGGGAGGATTTTCTTAACACTCGCTCTTCCACTTTCACCGACCCCTCGTATTTCATTGAAACTACCCTATTCTCTTTTCGAAGAACATATTACAATAATACAAATATATTGTCACTCGTCATGCAAAGAAAAATACGTTTAATGTGTATTACTAATTTACACTTTGAAAATTAAGTTTACAGCAGCTCCACTATCTGCTAGTCTCTTTAAGTAATTATATACATTTGCAATTACTTGCTTCGTCTGTGAGTGTAGACCGATACCCTGACCTACTTTCTCACTCATTATGCACGATTTAACGCAGAAGGAAACTGACGTTTTTAAACAGATGATAGAAAAACCGTAATTATAATCTGCTCCGACGGTGCCTTACAAACAACTGGCCGCCTGTAATTTCTCACACCCTCGAACCCACTCCCTTGTCTGAAATTTTCATCTGCGCATTCAAGGTTACTTGTTCGAAGCCATGTTCGAAGTTACGTCACACCGCCATCTGTGAGCCGACTGATTAGAAAATGTGGGAGCCTCGATGTCTCACAAACCTATGGGCCTCCACGGCCTGTTAGAGGGATAGGGATCGAACAGTTCCAGTTCCTGCAACCAGAACACACAAAGTGCTTAATCCGGGATGTTATTTGCTTCCAATTATTTGTTCCTGGTTTCATTAACGACGCTGATGATGATAATATACTTTCGAATTATAAGAAAAACTAAAACTATCCCTGTAACAGGCCATGGAGACTCATAGGTTTGTGAGACGTCGAGGCTCCCACATTTGTCTAGACAATCAACACACAGATGGCAGTGAGGCTGTCAGCCTTATGCGCCGGTCGGCCACCCTTCCTGGCACTCCTTTCTGTTAGAGGCTGAGACGACCCAAGGGACATAGTGCGGCTGGTAGGGTTAGGCACAATGACTAATGCAAGATTAATTAGAAATCATATGGAAGGGCCGCGCCATAGCTCAAGAAGTTAGTCGCTGGCTTCCCACCGCGGCGGCCCGGGTTCGATCCCGAGTCTGGTCAAGTGGGATTTGAGGTGGACAAAGTGGCGTTGGGGCGGGTTTTCTCCGAGTACTTCGGTTTCCCCTGCCAATCTTCATTCCACCAATTGCTCCACAGTCACCCTGACCTATCATCTG